CTATGTTTTACTTAGTAAAAAAAAGCATTTCTGAAGCTGTGGAGGTGTTTTTTACTACATTTTTCTTAATAAAAATGCATCTGTTACTAAACTTACTTTGTAAAAGCTATCTTTGAAATTTTTTAGTGCAATTACTAATAATTTTCTTAATTAAAACTTTGGAATAACTTTATTTTAATATATCATTATAATAATTAAAAAAAATTTTATATTTGATTTGATTTGATTTTGAGGAATCCTAACTACCACTATCTACAAGGTAGCTAATAATAATATTGGGAATTAATTTAATTTTTCCAATATAATAGTTATTCGGCACTTTATGTTAAATAACTATTAATTATTATGATAATCATGAACGATCTAATGTGCTTAAATATTGATAAAATTTTTAGATAAGATAGCACAATTGGAACAATAGATGCCAAAACCATCAAACGATGATATCATAATTTTAATAAAGCTTATTCTAAAAAACATATTTTATTAACTTATAATGAATTAGTATTTTATGCTAATGATGATAAAAAAACTTTTTGGAAATTTGCTGAACATCAGTCTTTTTGTAATAAAGTTATAGGTTTAAGCTTTTTTTTTTCATTGATTTTTTAACAGAAATTGATGGTCAATTAAAATATGAATAAAATGAAACATATGTTACGATGAAACCAGGTGTTAATCGATAGATAGTAGAAAACTGAAGATTTAATTAAACAGGTAAATTTTTTTATTCATTATTTTAAAAACAATAATTTAAATTTAAATTACTTTATAAATAGATTACTGAAAAGGCAATTTCAATTTTTGAAAAACTGCATCCTAGTGATATTGGTATATTTGCATTTGATAATGCAATATTTCATGCTGCATATGCAAAAGATACTTTAATTGCATCAAAATTAAATCTTAATCTAAGTGATAAAGGAAAATTTAAAAATGAAATAATGCCTGATGGATCAATACAGTTGATGTATTATTTAGATTGAAAACCTAAAAAAATTCATTTAGTTTTAGAAGAATACAGATTATGGTAAAAAAGAGATGTAAATTGTATTTGTTCTAACTGCAAAATTATTCTCCAATTACAAATAAATGCTATACAGTTCAAATACTTTCATTTCAACTAGATTTTTTAGCCCAAAGTTTATTAATTAGAGAAATTATTGAAGATCATGAAAATGAAATTATAATTTATCCAAAATTTCATTGTGAGCTTAATTTTATTGAGATATTTTAGAAAGCTGCTAAATGATATACCCATAATAATTGTGATTATTTTTTTAAAGAATTAGAAAAAACAGTTTCTAAAGTATTAAATTCAATTTCTTTAAAAACAATTAGAAATTATACGCGAAGGTTTTAGAAATTTATGGATGCATATAAAAAAGGATTAACAAGTACAGAAGTATTATATACTGTAAAAAAATATAAGTTACATCAAAGAATTTCCAATAATGTGATGAATGTATAATTATTTTAAATAAAAATTAAGAATAAAAAAAATTAGATGGCTATAATAAATAACATAAATTATGATTATATTTAATAAAATTTATTTCACATGATCATATTATAAGCTAAAAAATTTGGTCACAAAATAAAAAAGTGGTAGCTATAGACTGTTCGCATTATATATATTATATAGTAATTTATGTATCTTTTCAAAGTTACATATTATGCAATGTATTAAAATATGATTTGAAAAATAAACCTAAAAAAGTTATGATATATCTTTCTATTAAAAAAAAATTAGAGATTCAATATAATAATAAAGCAAGTGCATAAGAATTACTTTATCATCATTAATATATTAATAATAAAGATATTGATTCAAAAGATTTAGAAGATATCTTTGATGGAAAAATCTATAAAGAATTATTGGAAATTAATCTATTAATAATAAAAAGAATATTGTATTTACAATTTTTTTATGATATATATCAAATATTTAAACAAAAAAACAGATGATTGTAAGCATTTCTTTTAATCAATAATAATCTTAATCCTTTAATTCAAATTAAAAAAGAAAATTTGATAATTTCTTTTTTAATTAACCTAAAGATTTTAATTCTTTTTAAAGTCCTTTGTAAATGAAATAAAAGAATTAGAAAATGATTAATGTTTTTTTATAATAAATATTTTAATTTTTTTTTTTGATTTTTATTAAAAAAATAATTATTTTTAGATAATATAACATGTTATAATGTATATACTCAAAGTGAATTTATATTACATGCATATATTCTTGTATGAACTGATGATATTTCTGTTCTCTCAAAAGTTATGAATATTACTGGTTATAATTCATATTCTGGTTGTAGATTTTGTGAAATTAAAGGGATTTACTCACAAAAGCATAAGCATGTTTACTTTTCTTCTAAAGGAATACATGCAAAAAAAAATCATATTGATTGGTTATCACATCTTAATAAAATAGAAGTTGTGTCAACTTCTAAAGATAATAAATCATTAATAAAAAAATATAGTAAATATAAATAATTATTACAATTTATTAATATTTAATTTATAATTAAATTATTTATTTTCTTTATAGTAATAAATGAAAAGAGTATTCTTTTTGAATTACTTTTTATAGAATTTTCAAGATTTTTTCGAATTGATATTATGTATTCATTTTTTGAAAATATTGTATTATATATGTTTAAATTATGAAATAGTTAATTTTTTAAAGATAATACTTTAAATAATTCAATTATTTTTGTTTTATCTAAATCACCTTGGGAAGAAATTGGCATAGAAATGCAAAATAATAAAAAGAATATGCTATTAGATTTTGGAAGACTACCACATAATATTAGGAAATATAATGATGAGTGTAAAGTAGAAGAATAGGTAAAATAAATAACTTTATATTCAGTACTTTTGCTTAAATCCAAATTACTGAAAAGGTATAGAATTTATAAATATTTATTAAATATTTTAATGATTTTAAATTTCAATTACTAAATTTTATATTAAATTTATAGATGTATCAAAGGTTGAAATGAACTTATCACAGCTATTAATTTATGCATACAATCAATATTGAAAAATAAATTATTGATTTAATTAGAAAAAAATTTAAAAATTTATATCAAAGTAAATATATAAACATTATATTTACTATGTAATTGATAAATTACTTTTATTTATAATATATTTATTTTTTTTATAGAGATTATGCAAGCATAGATAAAGAAGATAATATCATTTTATTATTTATTACATGTAGTTGAAAGTATTGAAAATTTGGTCTATATAGAAAATATTGGTAAATTCCAATAAAAAGAATATGTTAATTTCATTAGTGAAATCACAAATTCATTCATATACTAGCCTTTAGAATAATATAATTTTAAATGAAAGGTTTAATCATTTAAAATTTAATGAATATTATAAGCAGATATTCAAAGAAAAAGAAGAAGAAAAGAAATACACTTCTTAAAGGGTTTTCAGTTTTTTTTTATGTGAGGAATATGAACTTTACTCTTTATTTAAAAATATAAATGTCAAATGTAGAATTAAAAAATTTAAAAAAAAACCTATGCTGCTATTTTAATACAAATAGCATAACAATTAAGATTTGTGATAAAAAAACTAATTTTATTAAAACTTATAATTAAAATAATTTTAAATTTTATCTTTAAATTTTTAAATTCAGAATTTATCACTAATTGTAATGAAATTTGGTAAACTACACTTCATTGATAGATATATTATAACTTCTAAAATGATAACAAAGATAAAATAAAGAGTAGAAATAATTATTCTGTATTATTAAGTATTATAACTATATATTTATAATTTTAATTAATTAATATTGTTTATTTTTATTTTAGATTAATATTACTACTAATAAAAATGCTAATTGTTATAATGCTTTTGAATACTTGAATATATGATGCAGTAGAATATTATATTGCATATAAATATAAAGAAAAGAATTATATATTTGCATATGTGTATAAATTTGATTATAATACAGATAATTATAGATAAATATATTTTAAAAATTTTAGTAGTTATCATTATTTGAAGTCATTGGTATTGATAAATGTATAGAATTATTTAAAATAGATAATAACAAATATATTTTAGATAGAGAGAAAATGTATCTGCTTTAATAGATATATTATTATTTTATTATATTATTTTTAATTTATATTAAAATTTTTTATTTTATTTTTTATTTTATATTTATATTTATATCACATAAAATAATGATAACATATTTTAAAAAGAAAAGAAATACATAAAAAAAGATTTATTTCAAATTAATAGTATATAATGAACTAATAACATGCTCATAATTGTGCTAAAGTTACTTTACTGAATGATTTAACTCTTGAATTTTAATGTGATCTACTTGGTGACAGTGAATTATTAAATTTTATTTACATGTAAAAAAGAATAACATTAGCAATAGCAGATCAAGAAGTTAAATCTAAATTTAAATATTTAATTTTAGTTAACCATCTTTATGCAATGATCAAAATCAACTATTAATATCAAACTTAGTATAAATACAAAATAGTTAATAAAATCTCTGTTATTTTCTTTTATTAAAATTGATTTTTTTGATTTGAAAAAGATCACTATCTTAAACCTTAATAATATTAAAAAAAATTTACGATCTGATATTTATTATAATTAAAAAATATTACTTGAAAATCATAAAAAAAAGTTATTTAGCATCATTTTTTTTATAAAAAAAACCTGCCACCTGGTATCATTGATAAAAAAAAATAACACCTGCACTATTATTATTAAAAAAGTCACTAGCACCATTAATAATTAAAAAAATGCTAACTTACATCATTATTTTTTAAAAAAAAATCCACCTGATACTATTATTATTAAAAAAAAAATGCCATTTAGTATCATTATTACTAAAAAAATTTATATATATATTATATAAAAAAAAATTTTACTTCAAATTAAAAAAAAAATAAAAAAAATAAAAAAAGTTTATTTCTTTATAAATTTTTGAAGTAATTCTCCTATTGATATATACTGTATCCCTCTTTAAATGGTATTTTGGCTTTAAACAATATGCATTCTCCTATAGAGTATCTAGGATTCTAACATTTAAAATAGTTCATTAAATTAAATTTGGGCAATTATTTGCTTCATACCTAAAATATGAACATAGAAATCAGGAAGATATATATGATCCAGTTGGAATTAACCAATTATTATTAGTTGATAATGACATGTTATTCGATGTAAAATATTGTGATGGTGGTGATTGTAGTTGTGGTTGTGGTTATGGTGTTGTTATTATCATTGTTGTTTCTGTTGTTGCTGTTATTGCTGCTGCTATTGTTCCTGCTACCGGTGCTATAATTTCTTTTCTAACTGAATATTCATTCTGTTCTAAAGATCTTTGTTGAGAAAATTGATTAGATTTGGGCTTAAAAACATTTTCTAGACCCTCTTCTACCACTTGCGTTGTCTTTCGATGTATTTCTGCAAATTTTGCCAATGAATCATATATACTTTCACGAAGTTCTCTACTAAGGCGTATTGGTGAAAAACATATCCTTTCTAAAACAATTACCCACGTACGTATATGTAATTCTAATCTATCATACTTTCATTTGAATAAAAATTGAACTTCCCGGCTCCATTAAAGGCAGAATGCTTTGAATGTCAAAAAGAAATTTTAGTCAAATTTATTATTCCACAACAAGAATACAGCAAAAAAAACGATTGAGGTCATTGAACTGGTCAAGAAGCAAATAAAGACAAGTATATTTGTGACAGTTGCTTGCTAAATCTTTATCGAGGTAACAAGTTTAAATTGAATGGGGTGGGGTCGGATAAAGCCATTAATGAATTTATTAAGATTTGAGGCGAAAATTCATTTTGCGAATCTTCAAAAAGTAGTAAGTTGTATAAATTTTTCGGTAAATTTAGATTTTTGATAAGTTCTTGAACATCTTCCTCTAGAATAGTAAGTCCAGTTTGATTCTTAGTAATGTTTCCTAGATTGTAGAACACGAAACTAGAAGAACTTTCATTCTAAAATTAATTTATTGGTCAATTTTTATATTTGAAAAATTAAAGATAAATGCTAAAGTGTCTATTATTTATACCTGGTCATTTCCGTCCATAATTTTTGGGTGAAAAAAAAAAAATAAATACAAAAATGGTTATTAATATTTTTTTTTTTTTAATTTATGTGCAATTGCAATGTAGACAGAATTCTTTGGAAACATGTCGATCATGTCATGCGCTCGTATTTCAATCGCTGTTATGAAATGTTCTGTTCAAAAGACCGGACTTTTGAACGAGACGGAAATGTACTTATTCACATGTAAATTTTAATTTGTAAAAAATTAAGTATTAAAATAATTTTAGAAACATTTTTCTTATAGTTGCTTATTATTAATCATCATTAAGCATTTCATAAAAAATAATTTCATCAAGAAATTATTTAATTATGAGAAATTCAACAAGACCTTAAATATCATATTCAATTATAAGAAATATTAAGATATTTTTATTTTATCTTACCCTCCATATTTTCACTACGGTCAGGACTTTACCCGACACGTAAAGCTATTGACCTTAACTCTGGAACTGAAACTACTCGGAAACGAAAAGCAGAGGCTGAACGTAAGAAGACAAATCACTAACTATGATTGGCGCAGTATCGCGCGTCATAACTATCACTAATAACGTGATAAACAATAAACAAGATCAAGAAATTTAATAAAATTTGTGGAACGTAATTTCTCCCCTAATTATCCATGATAAAACTAATGAAATATATATATAATTGGATAATTAGAAAGTTTTTTATTAAGTCAAATATGATGGTTAATTTTACTTTTAACTATTCCTACATGGTAATCATTATGTTTATGGGTTAATAAACGATGGTAAAGGTAAGCAGAAGCTTGTTTATTTGCAATTTTATTTATTAATAATAACGAATACAATAAATACACATAAATAAAGTATTCCCGACGTCGACGCTCTATACGATCAGATACGTTTATAAATTATAAGTATCGTAAATAAAATATTACAATGAATTGAAAAAAGGGAATTCTAAGCTATTGTTTCTTAATATTATTACTATCAACATACTTTCACAAAACATATTGACCGGTGACAATCTAGCCAAATCGATATACAAAATGCCGATAGACTAATACAAATACAATGCATCAAACAAAATAAAATTATATAACTGAAATATATTTTTAGGCTTATGTTATCTCTCATATTTTGTCATCAATGAACTTTAATTAAAATTTAAAAAATTTGTTCTATTTATTTAAAGATTATTTAGATATAATTAGTTTATTAAATAAAACTTGGTCGGGTAACCGGTCGGTTAGAAGCTTTATGACCGTGGGTGGAGTCATGGTACGAATAAAATCCCCGAAACCTATTCATCACATCTATGCAGCCATAAGTCGGAGGTGAATTTTCGGGATTTTTGATTTTCGTAATTTCGTACAGATCCCGTGACCGCCATTAATAAATTTGGTTTACAACAAACACTATATTTGTGCAAGTTTACAATTTATATTTAACATTTTATCTTATTTTATTTTTATTTTGCTAACCGTATATAAAACCAAATTTATGTATATGTAACGCAGTGATGGCAAATGACCAGGTCATTTGACTAATTTTCAAATGACCCGAAGTCATGTCAAAATGACCTTGGTCATT